AAATCATTCTTTTTTAGAAGAAAAAAATATCAAACTAAAACATCGTCACAAAATTTCTAAAGAAGAATAAAATATGAGAGCTACAAATAATTAAATTATTAATCATACACCCGCACTGATCAAGTAGGCTTAGATGTACCTGGCTGTCTATAGCAAAGTACTCCAAATTCATCTGCATAATGACATGAAAAGGAAGGTGAAAAGTTAATGATCATTTTTATCTAACAATTAAAGAAAAAAAAAACGAACTAGCTGAATTATAATCTAAACCAACAGACTACAATGAAAAGAAATCAAGCAGAAACTTCAGTCTTGGCCTGGGGATCAGTAACCTCTTTTAGAGCAGCTATGCGAGGTAAAACAGTTGAATCTCTCTTGATTTGTGTGACTAATTCCCTTGATATAGGTGAACTGAAGAAGACAAATGCCCTTCAAGGATACAAAAGAAAATAGATTCAACAACTATTGCACAAAAATGCTCAACTAGAAGCATTAAATAACTGGGAGATGGGTATAAATACTTCCGGTATAAAGGAGATCTCCCTGACATGTCTGACAGGAACATGACAACACTGCAATTTTAAAAGAGAGAGAGAATGAAGAATTCAGCTCCAATTTAGACCATCAATCTAAGATTAAAAAAAAAAAAAAAAAAAAAACCTAAATCTACACCATTCCCGGGTGATTGATTAGAGATGTAAGATATTGTGACGAAAAGCAAAGGAAGAAGGGTCCAGCCTAGAAGGTTAGAAAAATATCCTCTACCTGAGGGGGTTTATTTTATGTATCTACAAGTATGGAATAAATAAAATGCTCTGTTTCATTACACTTGATAAATGTAATAGAAGCCCTTTTTTTTTTTTTTTTCTACCTCAATTTATGCAATATAAGTGCAATAGACATAAATTAAGACAAGATCGGAAGGAGATTAACATTCAAGTCATAACCATCAAAGATAGAGAAGAAGAACTCTAAATGCAGAAGGCCAAATAAAAAATCTAATCAATCATAAAAAAAAATGCATTGCATTCAAATCTAGCAAAGTAAAAGATAAAGACAAACTATGGTCGTAGAGCTTAAAATTATATGAAACTATTAGACGGAATTGTATAAATCACATAAAAGTGTACATATATTACTTCTCTCTAGAAGGCTGAAGGAAATAGATAGCATCCATGGACGGCAGTGGCTGCCTTCGTCTGTGTATGTCTTCTACCACTGCAGCACCAAAACAATCCATATATTTAGCCCAAAAACTATAAATTCCAAATGAAGAATATATCTAGGCACCAGAAAGAATTTCTTTCGTAATTTACCACAATCCCAACAGCTAACAAAAAGGTTTAAATTCTTCTTGGTTTTTGCTTCAGATAAGGAACACATATAAATAGCTTTGAGTTATGGATGGATCAACTAAATAATACAAATCATTATCTCAGATATATGTATTTCCTACTAATTTAACTTAGGGATTCACATCATTGTGTTTCAACATCAGCATATTGTGTTATATTCAGAAAACAAGAGTTCTTTGACAGGCTTGTATTTTTTTTTTTTTTGGTGTTTTTGAGGTTATGGCTAGTAATATTTTTAGGTGTGGGGGGCCACAAACGAGGTTAGGAATCTTGGAAGTTACAAGTCTTGTTGTGAGCATCTGTCTCTCCACTTTTTTGTAATTTTTTAGAACTCAACACTATTTTGTAATTTTTTAGATACTCAAAGGCACAGTTGTACAACCTACGAAATAGATCTTATTCAAGTAAGGGTGCCTCTCCACTTTTTTTTTTAAAAAAAAAAAAATTAATGAATAGGTCTTATTATTTTGGATTGAAGTCTGAAATTTCGAGACTCATTCTGTGGCATTTTGCACATCCGTGTATATTATTTCATTTTTCTCCACGAAAACTTGGTTTTATCATTAAAAAAAATCAATACAAAGTCAACCAATGAAAATTGGTGCATGAGGAAATAATTTGGAATTTTCACTTCCAGAGTTGCAAACCACCTCTGCCAGGAGGCAGTTTTTTTTTTTTTTTTCCTTCTTTCTTTTTCTTTAACTTCTTGCAGTAAGTGGAACCATATAATATCATGAAATATGCAATATACTGTCGACACAACACATCAAGAACGAATCACAGATGACAGTATCAAGAATCATTGGTGTAATATGTATTAGAGAACTTGCTTGTGTTTCTTACATGAAACACCTTCATCTGTGATATCAGCCATCTTGCATGCGTACGACATTATCTTTACGGTAAGTTTGTCCATGATGAGAACCTGTGAACAACAGATCCAGACACCAAGAAATCTAAAAGGGAATGTGATGTAGGTAAACCAAACAAAAAGAAAACAAATGATTCTTCCTGGTTCAAAAGAAAACGAAAAATGAATAACTCAGCAGATTTTTTCACTAGAGGAAGATGCACACAGAGAACTTCCACAAACTCCAAATAGGAAATTCCCTTTTTTTTCCAAGTATCCATTCAACAAATTGCATGTAAAAAAGCAAACTGCTACATCAGATTTGCAAATTCGAAGCCACATAGGAATCATATTTGTTTAAAGAATGAAAATAAGTAACAAATAGGTTCAAAAGTAATTTGTTTAAATGAAAATGGTTATGAATATGACATACCTTCCAGGTTGATTTCGAATCCCCTGTTTTGGCTGACCGAAGCATTTCATGCAGCAATCCTAAAGGCGAATTTAAAAGGATATAAGTAAATTGGTTTATTAGGTGCCACAATACAATACACTGGTCATCTAGGAAGCTTAAAGATCTAAGGTCGATCTTCTGTAATATGCAATATGATAAAAACATGAAAAGTTTATAATGATGAAAATTTTGTTTGATATCATAAAAAAAAATGAAAATTTGCCAGGATGCAAGTAAACTAAAGGAATGTTTTAAGAGCCCCTCTAAAGCAACCAACAAATTCATATTCCATCTCACCAGGAACTCAAGTGTTTTGAGGTGTACAAAACCTTGGACTTATCAAAACCCAAAAGTAAGAGAGTGTAGTGGTTAATATGAAAATTAGTAATTATGTGAAATGTCGTATAGGATATGGTAATCCGTCTTCACTAACACGTTCACATCTAGCAGCTTCATGCTTATCAATGCCCGGATGCATGCCAACCCTGAACTGAATGTATGTTTTCAGCACATTCGATTATGCGTGAAGGCATTACAAATTTTAGTTCAATTTACCATTAAGCTTTAGAAGGATTTCTTCCAAACCATTAACCACCTTGGACCAGTAGGAACATAGGGACATTTTATGGTTCCTCTTAGCGTAATATCAAATGTGAAAAAAGGAAACCCACCCCCAAATCCACTCGTAAGTTAAAGCAAGTTCCAACAATCATGAACAAAACATCAAGTTGGGCTTATAAATTGGTAGAGACATCCAAAAAACAAAAAAATATGGAAATAAAATCTCTTATCATCTGAATTCAACAACCAGTTACAACACGACAACCTCTCCCGGAAAAAATTAAGTTTATAATAACCTGCCATTTCAGTCAGCGATTGAATTATTCAAGATTCTAGAAGACAAAAATCAAATTGGAGGATTAATTCAATAGTTATCAGCCAGAAGTGGGATGATTCAATCAAGAACAATTTAAAATGGGAGGAAAAAGAAAATAAAACAAGCGCAAAGGAGAGATATGAGACTCACGCTCGCGGCTGATTTGCTTGAAACTTTTGTGATCACCACATTGAGAAGATGAATCAGAATCAGAGAACGACATGGTAAGGGCCAAGAATTCCTCCTTCTGATCGCTTGGTTTCACCAGAAAAACAGAGATCGTTAACCAATTGTGGAAGTTCCGGGAGAAAAAAGGAGAGGATCGGAGAGAAGGACAAAGAAGATTCAGTTCCACGCAGAGATGATCACGAAAAAATCAATCACCCAGAAAGTAAAAAGAGGGGGATCAATTATATTGAATTACGGGCGCGGGGGAAGAAATTGATGGTCTGAGTTTAGGCTGACGGGTTTTGACTCGTCGTGAAGGCTGAATTAGCAGGCGCTATTCTTCCGACTCGGAGCCCGCGACGAAAAGGCAACGAAAATGGACCGCAATTCTCGACCACCTCCATAGATGTTGGACTCCTCCGTCCGCCACGTAGCCTCCTAAGGACCATTTTGCCCAACAAAATTATCTTCTTCATTAAGAAATTGATTGGCAAAACCAAGAAATTAATTTTTAGAAAGTTTTAATTTAGTGTGCAAACCATTTATAACATTTTATTTTTATAAGGATAAATTAATTCTAACTTTTATGTAAATTTAATATTCCATCAATCAAATAAACATCCATAACATCATTTATGTATCAATTCTTGCTCAATATTTGAACAATTCTTGCTCGGGAAATTTCCATTTTTTTTATAATAATTTGAATATTTTTAGAAAAGTCCGTGTGAAATTATTTATTTTCCATTGAATTCTTATCATACAAAATGTCTAATGAATTCTTAAATTTTGAATATTAGATGTAATAGACTTATGTATTAAAAGCTAAATTACAAAAACAATATATATATATTTCTAAACTTTATAAATTATTACAAAAATACAACTATTTTTTCAAAAAATAATAATAATAATAATACCCTCAACCAAATGATATTTACTCTAGCCTACGAGCACAAATTCTCGACGCAGAATATAATCCCGAAGTACTCTAATTTTCTTCTTTTTTCAATGTGCACAGTTCGCACAAGCAACTTTACCGAACTTATGAGGTAATATCAGTTCGAAGGGAGCGCCAAACACCAGGTGTGAAGTTGCTCCTACCTACAAGAGCATCCACCTTTGTATGAGATGGAGAAGATGCAATGGGATTGTGAGACCACAGGGAGAGGAAATCAGGTATGAGGTCTGAGGTCAACATTAATATGTCACCCGACTTTAATGAACTAAAGGGGTTCCCCGTCCCTACCTTGTATGCTTTATTCCCGTCCCTACCACCATTATGACATTGACAAAGATTTTAAATGCTACAAGGTAGACAGATTTCTTTTAGAAACATGAGAAAGGAAAAAGGAAAACAAGAGCACTTTATGATTTCAGCCAGAGGCTGAACATTTTGTCCAAAAGCACACCATAAACTTCATACATTAACCGAAAATAACATAGCTAGCAGGGCAGTCTTTAGATTCGGGAAGCCCACAAGCACTCTAACTGCACTTTCCCACCCTTTAAGAGTGTCTCAATTTCTTTTGGAGGGTTCAAACCAAGCTTACGGGCAAGCTCCCATCGTTCCATTCTTGTCATTCCAAGGCAAGGTCCATAGGCCATGTTCATGTCAAATTGCCTCAGTATATTCTCAGACTCACCATAATCATCTAAAACGAAATGAAGTTCATAAAAATTGATGAAGCACAAGGTACATAAATATCCAGCCATCAGACTTCCAAACGCATCTAAAACAAAAGGTTTAAAAAATCCGAACTTTAGGTGTCCATAATTAAATTGTGACAGAAATTAATAGCAATTCATGCTTAATCCTTTTCATAACCATGAAGCAGGAGTCTAAACATATTAATTCAATTTCACAGTCGAAAATTAAAATAACCAAATACCTAAGTGACACCCAACAACTTCTAGACTGCCGCATGCCTAATCCTTGATAATCACGAAGCATAAGGCTAAACATATAAATTCGATAATACTTCAGCCGAAACATCGAGTGAACTAAACATCGAGAATCTTTAATTCGACTATTGAATAACTTAAATGTAATGTAATCGAAATCCAAAAGCTTCTCGAATGCAATATGCTTAATGCTTCAGAATCACGAAGCACAAAATCCAGAACCGTAATCAAACTTTCAAGAAACCCAATGAAGAAAACAAAAGAATAGAGAGAGAGATTGTACCTCGGAGATCGAGGGAACCGTGAGAAATAAGAGCCGCCGGTTGAACGCCATCGGAGTCCAAAGTTGCAGAGTTGGCCCGAGATTTGGTTTTTCTAGAAGAGGGCTTTGAAACCTTAGAGACTCCACTGTTCTTCCTTTGCTTGTAGAAATCTTTCATCCCTCCTCGAGCCGATGCCATTTTTCTTCCTCTCACTCTCTCTGATCGATTTTCAAAATTTGAATTTTAATCGCACCTTTCTCTTTAAATGGACCCTAATGTTATCTGGGCCGGGGCGCCCGATCGAGCTTCGGCCCATTAATATTTCTTTCAAAAATACATTTTTTTCTTTTTTGAGTTGAAATATCATTATCTTATATATATATATATATATATATATATATGGTTTAAATTCTATTTTCTTGAATTTTCATGCTTCATTTCCTTTTAAATATTGCACAAAAATTATGCCCCAAAAAGGTCTCCTTTATTTTTCTCATTGACTTTATTTTCTTAATTTCCATTTAAGATTGAAATAGGCTTAAAAATATAATAATATACGGATATTTTTTAATTAAATATATAGTTTTGTTCATAATGTTGGGATATTATTAAATTCTATTTTCAAATATTTTTGAAATTTTAATTTAAATTTTTTATTGTCAATATTTAATGATGATATAATAGCACGACATTAAAATATCATATATTTTAATATAATTTGTCTCTTTTTTTTTTTTTTTTCCTTTAATAAATTCAGACCATGAGTAGTATCTACTACCATACATTTTTACATCCTTAAATTTCCTGTTGTTTTCAAAGCTCAACTTTCTACCACAAATGCAATCGTTCATGGAGAAGTTGCAACAAAATCATCTCCTTGGATGAATCACACTTTGGAGGAGATCTTCTTCGCCCCCGAGCACCCTCGAAAAAAGAAGGGAAAATCCTTAACGACCACGGTTCTGATGCCAATGTTCAAAACCTTTTTATGAACCAAACACGGGCTAAATACAATGGGACTTAAGATTGTTGATGTGTTTTCCTTATTGTATAATCTCACACTTCGAGTACCGGGTTCCTGGATGGAATCCTTCCTCTCGAGTTTGACTCCTCGATCTTTGAAGTCACCTCAGCTATAACGAGCCTTGTCAAAAACAGCCCTGCTGTTAGCGCCGAGACCATCAGCATTACGAACACTGAACTCCAGCTTTTGGCTGATAAATATCCTGTTAACAAGGGTCCGATCGCAGCGCCAACCGAGCCAGTCCCATCAATAATCGCAGTCACAGTTGCAAGCGCCCGAGAATTCCCATTCAGTGAACTGTGCGTTCCTAAATCAGCAGAGACGGCTGTTGTTATGAGAGCATATGGCCCATTGACAAACATGCCAGTGATGAACATGAGACCAACATTCATAGCTATGGAGATGTGACCATAGTTTCGGTAGCAGTAGAGAGCAGGAATGGCACAGTACATGAAACTTGCAGCTGTTATGGCTCTAGCACCCAAGCGATCAGAAATATGACCAGCTAAAATTCCTCCTACAACCCCTCCGATATCGAACAATGTCGAAAGGTTTCCTGCTGTCGTACTCGACAAATATTCCCCGTCGATCACTGCAAGAGCATTAACCACAAATTAGTTCATCGTAGTTGTATGTCAAGTAAGATAACAATGCTTGTCATTTCAAATATGAGAGATCATGAACCAAATAAGCAGACAAGAAACAGAAATGCAGCTCTACCTGTGTGGCTAATGTAGAAAGGAAGCCAGTAAAGGAATGTATAAGCCACCAATTTGGCAAAGAACAGGCAAAATGCAAAAGGTGCAACACCGGGAATTCTCCACGCTTCTATAAAACCGATGGCCTTCTCCGTCTCCGACGCCGATTTCAATAGAGGTTCTGTAATTCCCTCCCCACTTTTCTTGGGAGAGCCCAAATCATCTCCTTCTTTATCAATTCCAACAGATTCAGGATGCACAGGAAGAAACAGAAAAACGACCAAACCCGAGAACGCAATGATCAGACCGGGGGCAACCATTGACCAACCCCAACCATAGCTCAACAAGGCAGATGCAACCAAGGAGCCAGAAATGTTGCCAACAGATGTATGGGCATTCCATATACCCATAATTAGTCCCCTCTTACTCTTTCCGAACCAGTTACCGACCACGGCGACAACGGAAGGCCAGCCAGTGGATTGAAACAGACCAGCAAGCATTTGAACTATCAAATAGTAAGAAAAGACATGGATGTTTGCCCAATATCCTAATCCAAACAGCGTAGTAAACAGGCCAGTTCCCAACATTCCCAAAGTTAAAAATATCCTCAAATCCATCCTATCGCCCAAATGGCCAGAGAAGTACATTCCCCCAGCATATACTCCTAGGAAAGCCAAGTCAAGCTCACCTAGTAAAGATGTCCCTTCTGCAGCATCAAATGGAGCCCAACCACCACGAGCGAGCGACGCACGGTGGCTACTCTCAACCGGTGTACTCGAACCGCTCGTTCTCCATAGATTGAACTTCAAGCCTACATCAGGAGATAAGGGATCCAGAGCACTCTTAATAATGCTTGTAGTTTTTCGAGAGGCATGGTAGTTAGCATACGCCAAGAATGTCACAAGCAGAACAATGGCTTGATGGGCCTTGTATGAAAGGGGTCGTTTCCTCATCCACTCGAAAAATCTGATACCATATGGCTTCTTGTGACTTGCATCACGTTCGGATTCTGATAATAACCCCATTGCCAACTCTTAGGGTAAACGAAGAACAAGACTGATTTCCGCTACAAGTGCAATCTACAGAAAATTACAGTTATATTAGGAAACAGTTGAAAAAGAACAAGATCAGAGAATTCAGATTTAATCGACAATTCAATTAAAATAATAATCAAATCCAAAAACTAATTTCCCCAAATATCAACCAGAGTTTCTCAAAATCGAACCGACGAAATTCTAACGAAAATCGAATTCAAAAACTAATTTCTCAACATCGTGTGGTTTCCACAAACCTTCGAAATTCATACACGACATACTACAACTTCAATTAAATCAAAATCGTGAAAACATCTCACCAAAATCGTTGTCCGAAATCGAATTTCCCACTCACTCTGCAACATAACCCCCAAAAATCCAAACAACAACCACAAAATCAATGTTTCAATCAACAAAACAGAAGGAACCATCCTCGAACTTAAGAGAATCAAAATATTACGTGCTGAACAAGAGATACTCAAGAAAAATCGAAGAAGAAGATTAGAAACAAAGAAAACATATTGACTTGAGAGAAAAGCAAACCTGCTTAGAAGCGAAAAAGAAAACTGATGGATTGCTAAAGCTTCTGAAATCTCGACTTCTCTCACTAAAAATTTGAGCTGCCTGGCTTTCAGGATTCTTCAACGAACGAGGTCGCTCCTTCAGTTTTTTCTTTCCTCTTTCTCTTGTGGATATGGAAATGGAAATGAAAATGGAAACGGAAAAGGATTCTTAAAAACAGATGGGGATCTGTTATCCATGTGAAATTACTGAAATACCCTTTTATCGTCTTTTCAAACTTGGCGTATCCATTTTGAATTTCTTGCTAAAAGTGATGCAGATTTGACGGAAATGCCCCTGGCAGTTTTTATTGACCCTGAAATGTTGTTGGCATTAATGGCTGGTAAGAGAAAAAGTGACCGTCCTTGATTCTTCCCTTTTATTCTTTTTTTTACGGAATTTTAATTTTTTTTTTCCAACTAAATTATGATTAAGAGATATATTAATAATATCTAATTACTAGGATTAGTGAAATTTAATTCCGAGTTCGAATGGATGAATCGTTTAATTTGCGAGAATTTAGATTCAAATAATTTTTAAAAACTATATTTCATAAACGAGTTCAATACTGATGGTTAATATTGAGATCTGATTAGGATTTTCTAAAGAATGCATTGTCAAAGTGTATTTGATTCAGATATCTTTCCATAAGTGCAACAGTGTGTGATGTTGGTTAATGATTATAGTGCATGTCTGGACACCAGTCACCTACTTTTGTGAAGTTTCGAGCACGTGGATTATGGTTGATAATTGTAATAGTCCAAATTCATCGTGTTGACCCATTACGTATCGTCGTCAGTCTCACGATTTTAAAACTCGACCACTAGAGAGAAGGAGAGGTTTCCGCACCCTTATACAAAATGTTTCGTTCCTCTCTCCACTAACGTGGAACCTTACAATTCACTCCCCTAGAATGCCCAGCGTAGGTACTAGCACACCATCAAATGTCCGACAATAATTTTCTTTTTAATTTTTCACTTAAATAATGTAATTTGTCCGTACATAAATAAATTAATTTGAAAACTATATACTATAATTAGACCCGAAAAAGGGTAAAGTGATAAGCTCATGAAAAGGATTTTTGTGGCCTAAAATGGTAATTTGGTTTGGAGTCTCCCTTTTGCCCAGCATTTCATTTTCATTTCCAAATAATTTCTAAACTTTAAAAAAAGAATTATAAATATAATATTTAAAAAAAAACAATATATATTTCTAAACTTTAAAAAATTAAAAATTAAAAATTAACTTGTTTATTTATCGTACAAATTGAATTTCGTATTTTATAGAATAAAAATAATTAGAAATTTAATATTTATAATTGGAAAATGTTAAAATTAACTTAATGCTGATGTCACGTAACATAGAAGGCTGGTGGGGCCCGCACCAGATCTGACGGCTCCTATGCTTACCGTACACTCCATCCTTAGCCAATCCACCGTCGATTCCCATCCTTCCCTAATATCCATTTTTCTTCTATGATCTTTCCCGTGACGTTCGTGGAGGGTATTTTGGTCAAATCAACGGAAGGAAAATCCAGATTCAAAGTAATTGGGAAGGGGTAATTAAAAGATTAAAGAGGGGTATAACGGTCTATGTGAAAAAGTCCAAACAGTTAAATTAATAGGAAGCTGGCGGCAATGGATATTCGCATCGCATATGCGGACGGAATAATTCCTGACGTGTCGGGGAATATCCGCCTCAGTTGTTAGCCGATGGGGTCCACGGGGATTTTGGGTGACGTGGAATTTCTCTTGGTGCTTAATAAGCTTCAGGCTGGTGACGCTGGCCATGGAAGCCACGTGGACTTGCAAATGGAATGCCAAATCAAAACACTAGGCTACGGGCTGCTGCCCGTTCCCTGTCGACTGCCCGTCTCTTTCAGTATATTTACACTTTTGGCCTTCCCTTCTTTTCTTCGGCTTTACTTTTTGTCGGAAATTAATTAATAAAT